TACAGACACCTCCACAGACCACATCACAGACAATGCTCTGTACAAATATGAAAAAAAAAAAATTCTAGACATACCTATAGGAACTCCCCGCTCTTCATGTCCCCTCCCTCTTAAACCAATCCAATCAGTTCAGTAACTGTTCAGTAATCAGTTCTCTAACAGCATGATGAGGTGTAATTTAAAATACAGCCAGGGCTGGCAGACATGCAACCAGCTGTGGGTGTTATTAACACCTAAAGAACTCCTGGCAGGTCTGGCATTGAGACATGCAATTACCACTTAGTATGGAGGGAGGAGACAAAGCAAGAACAGGAGACTATTCCCACAGGGCCTGTGGGCGAGGCAATTGAATTTACTGTCAACATCCACTTTTTAAAAACACAAAACCACAGCGGGTTCAGATTATTTGGAGCTTCAGCTTTCCAAACCCTGAGCTTTGGGAAAATATCCTATCAGATTCCCTACCATGAATGTAACGCTGAATTATTGTTTTTACGAAAGGGACCCACCTCCCAACAATGATCCCTAAAGTCATTTTGTAAGCCATCCAAAAAAGAATAATGCTTGGAGTCTCTTTTTTTTTTCAGTATCTGGTGTAAGCAGCAGGAGTTGTTCCCTGGCTGTAACCTGGGGGTAGAAGTTGGTGTGAAATGCATCTTTAGTTTGAGGAATATGGAGCACCATCTTCATAACCTCCAAGCAGCTTAAAGGTAAAGGTTCCCCTCACACATATGTGCTAGTCGTTCCTGACTCTAGGGGGCGGTGCTCATCTCCGTTTCAAAGCTGAAGAGCCAGCGCTGTCCGAAGACGTCTCCGTGGTCATGTGGCTGGCATGACTAAATGCCAAAGGTGCACAGAACGCTGTTACCTTCCCACCAAAGGTGGTCCCTATTTTTCTACTCGCATTTTTTATGTGCTTTCGAACTGCTATGTTGGCAGAAGCTGGGACAAGCAACGGGAGCTCACCCCGTTATGCGGCACTAGGGATTCGAACTGCTGAACTGCCGACCTTTCGATCAACAAGCTCAGCGTCTTAGCCACAGCCTGCTTATTAAGGAGCAAGCAAGTTGCAAAGAATAATTCTGAATTAGCATGGGAGCCTCAAGGCAAATGTGGAAATGAGATTAAAATTGTTTTGACTAGAATAATGTATAGGTATTTTTGGTGATATCTAGCCCGCATCATCACCACCATTTTTCTTACAGCAAATATTTTTGAGGATGACATAGACAGAGTAGCTTTATAGACTCTGATATTATCTATAGCTACATAACCTAAATGAATTCAAATGGAGTCAGAACACTCAACGCTCCCATTTTCTCTCATACTTCATGTATTAGAAAAAGTAGAAATCAGAAAGATGCAGAAATGGGATCTTATTAATTAATCAAATGTATATCTCACAAAAGTGACTATTTGCAGCGTACAGCAATCCAATAAAACAGTAAAAAAAAACCTCAATCATTACTTAAAGTCATGATATAATAATTATTTAAAAAAGCATTAAGAACTATAAGATCAGAGCAAAAATGGGAAAAGAGAATAATAGATGAAGGAATGTTGATGATAACAGACCCATATCACAAGGTCACCTGTTCTCTAGGAATTCCAGGCTTCCTGGCATAACCAGGTTTGAGGGATCTTTGAAAGCTCAGGAGTGATGAGGCTGACCTCATCTCTGGGGAGAGAAATTCCACAATGTGGACACAATATCAGGCAAGGCCCATTGCCCAAGGCCTGCTAAATATAGTTTCCTAAACAACAGAATCCATAACATGCCCATTCTGTTGGAACTGCTGGGATGGGCAAAGTGGGAAGAGGCGGCCCCTCAAACAAACTGATACTATGCCATGTAGGGCTTTAAAGGTCAACACCAGCTTGAAGTGAATCTGGTAAACAAGCTGGTAACTAATGCAGCTTGCGTAGCACAGATGTGATGTGCATTCTGTCAGAAATATACATAACTGCTGGCAATGCTGTATTTTGCAAACAGCTGAAGTTTCTGGATACCCTTCAAGAGCAGCCCCATATAGACTGAATTGCAATAGTCCAACTGGAGGTGACTAAGGCATAACCCTTGGTTCATGAAGAAGCCTAATTATTAGTTTGCTAACATGTCCTTTTGTAAAGATTAACACTCTGAATTTGCAGAGTATAAACTCAGTGGTGAAATCCAAATTTTTTTACTACTGGTTCTGTGGGCATGGCTTGGTGGACGTGGTGTGGCTTGATGGGTGTGGCTTGGTGGGCATGGCAGGGGAAGGATACTGCAAAATCTCCATTCCCACCCCACTCCAGGGGAAGGATACTGCAAAATCCACATTCCCTCCCCACTCCTGAGGAAAGGATATTGCAAAATCTCCATTCTCACCCCACTCTGGGGCCAGCCAGAGGTGGTATTTGCTGGTTCTCCGAACTTCTCAAAATTTCCGCTACTGGTTTTCCAGAACCTGTCAGGACCTGCTGGATTTCACCCCTGATTCTAACTTAATAACTATGAATTTTTCGTCTGCATTAATTCCCATATTGATGCTTACTTAGTGAAATGAATATATATGAACAAAAGGAATGCAGTAGACTGAAGTTTATACAGGGGTGAAATCCAGCAGGTTCTGACAGGTTCTGGAGAACCGGTAGTGAAAATTGTCTAGCTAGATCTGTCTAGCTACCTTATCAGATGGTGTTTGGAAAACTAGAAAGAGTATTTTAGAACAAGGTAGTCAACTAGTAACCCCACCAGGCATTGCCAACTTACCATTCCTGTAATGGAGCTGTGGTGGCGCAGTGATTAGAATGCAGTACGGAGAAAGATACTAACATTTTCAGCACCATGGACAGCACTCCAACAATCTTGACCAGCTGCCTCAATAACTGTGCCATTAAAATGTTATAATGCAGCTTAAACTTTATGAATCAAGTGAAAACCTATAGCTTTGTGTGTGTGTGTGTGTGTGTGTGTGAGTGAGTGAGAGAGAAAGAGAGAAAGAGAGAGAGGGAGGGAGGGAGGGAGGGAAAGAAGGAAAGATGGAGATAATATCAGAAGTGAGGAGGTTTATTTTATTTGCAGTTTCTGCCTTGGCTTACTACCTCAAATGTTCTGCTTTTTAATGATGTCTCTGCCATTTTCAAACTGCGACAATATTTTTTTACAGATATTGTCTGCTTCAGTTTTAGATCTCTTTACCAGCAATATGAAGACAACCACAATGGATCAATACATTTCTTGAAACTTGGATGAAATATAAAAATAGGAAAAGTAAGAATAATAAAATGCCCAATCATTTGGAAGATATGAAGTTACCGAAGCAATAAGTCTAACATCACATATGATGCAGCTAAATTTGTTTTGCAAATATTAAAGCATGCAAATAAATTACTATAGAATTAGATATGCCTTAGCAAAGTATAAATATTATACCCAGATGGAATTATATTATGTATTGTGTTATTAACATATTAACATTGATGGGCATATCATTTTAAATCAGTTTATGTTATATTATTGTAAGGCAGTTTTGCTGTGCAACTCTTTTATTGTTCCAATATAAAATGCATTTGTGATAAGAAACTAGCTTTAAAAAGCTTTTTAATATTTTAAAATATTTGCAATGGACAGACATCTGGCTTCAGGGATCTGGGTTGTTTACACTGATATATGAAGATTTAATAACTAGAACCAAGTGATTTAGCAGCAAACTGAATAAAGAATATGACATTTAGCCCATTTGTTTCCAACCCCAAAAACGAGTTCTAGCTCTTCAAATAAAAAGTCACATCCAAATTTTCTCTTAGGTTATCTTAACTTCAGCAGTCAGATTTGTCTTACATTTAAAATAAAATGTATAGTGCTGCATAGCCAAACAAATAGAACAGAATTACACCTTCTGACCCACTGCAAATCAGTCAAAGAGCTTTCTTCTGCCTATCTCTTAAAGCACAATAAAAATGTTGGAAGCAGTAGTGAATTACTTTTTGTTGCTGCCACCTATGTAATTTAAATCATCTTTTTATGTAAAAAGAAAAACAGTACATCTTGGGTATTTTTTAAATAAAATCTTCAGTTTATGAGGAAAGAGAAAGCTTGTGTAAATTTATTTATGCAACTATAAGCAACAACAACAAAAAAGAAAGCTAAGGCACATGCTTTAATTTCTGCAGCGCAGAAATTGTCTTCTCTTTTATAGAGTGGGTCTGTATATAGCTCAGCTCTCATACTTTCTCTTAGTCTTATAGTGTAAATGATGACTCCTTATTCCTACTTTGTCCATCTTTTCTGCTTGGGTCCATTCTGGAAAATTACTGGCTGCTGCAGCTGCCTAATGCATATATCTGCACCATTTTGAAATTTGAAAGATCAAAAGAAGAAACTCTTCCTTTTTGCTCATGTTACTTTGCATGCTTCATGCACTACATGAATACATAAATAATGGACATGGAACCCAACATTTTAAAAATTTAAAATACTACTGACATTCATTATCTTCTTTTTCAGTTTTTTTTTTGGGTAAAGGTATTGGCAACCAGGCTTCATTGGTTAGGATCTTGGTGTTTGGGGAGACTGTTCCTTGAGCCTCTGAATGTGGTAGGATGAAGTCAAAGCTATTGATTTTCCTGAAGATGCTTCCTCTCTGAGGGCACCTGATTTTGAGATTTGCACGCATTTGAACCAACCTTTCCTATGGAATGCAAAGCAGCATTGGGAACAGATTTCCAATTTGTCTCATGATACCATGAACCTTTGGAAATCACAATGACAGCATCAGCATTATGGGCATTGCCATGACACGCACCGTCTCCAGAGGGGAACATAGCATCATAAGCATCACCTTCTCTCCTTGTATTCTGCATCTGTGCTGTCGGGTACCAGGCTATACCATTCTCACCTGCTGGGGAGGGGGGGAGGGATGGGAGATAAGTGTTGACTTCCCCCCTGATTTTACTGGTTAATGGTGTGTCCCTACATTAGCTTTGCAAGGAGAGAGGTTGCTCCCATTGCTGCCAAGAGGGTCCAGAGGCGGACCCAATTGACTAGATAGAGCTGGTTGCTGAGGATTGCAGAAGACTCCAGGATTTGCGAGGAGCCGTGTCAGGCTGTTTTTTTTCCCCCTCCTATAAATACCCCCCCACTCCTTCTCTCCAAAGCGCAGGGGCAGAAGGAATCCCTTTCCCCGTAGAAGCTCCCCGCAGGAGGCAAGCAGGAGGGGAGAAAAACAGCGCTTTGAAAGGAAGCTAGTTAGAAAGATTCCCATCTGCGAATTCCATCTTCCTTCACAGCGAATGTCCTCCTTCTCCTTTTGAAACAGATCCCCGGTAGGCGAGCCGATCTCCTTTCTATCCCCACAACAAGCTGCTCCCGGGAAAGCAGTGCTAGAAACTTCGCCCGGCGATCGAAGCTTCCCCACCACCCGACCCCCGAGAGATCCTCTTCCCAAGGCTGGCTGACCGGATCGCCTTTTCGGTGGTTCCTCTTTCTAGGGCAACTTGGCAAGCCTTTTCTCGAGGAGGGCTTCTGGTGGAGGTCGTTGGAATCCCCTCCAGTGATTATCCCCGAGGAAGAGCCCCTCATCTTTCCCTCCAGAGGTACCCCAATATAGCGACCCCTCCTCATCTGTGGGACACCCAAAACCCTTGAGACTTCAGACCGCTCGTCGAGATGAATTACCTGCGCAGGCGACTCTCTGACAGCAACTTCATGGCCAACCTGCCCAACGGCTACATGACCGACCTCCAGCGCCCTCAGCCACCGCCGCCGCCGCCCAGCGCCACCTCTCCATCGCCGGGCAACATCTCCCCAGCTGAAAGGCCACCGGCGGCCCCCAGCCCTGGAGCCGGAGCCGGTGGTGGTGGTGGAGGCGGCGGAGCCGGGGGTTTTTTCTCGTCGCTGTCCAACGCGGTGAAGCAGACGACCGCCGCGGCAGCAGCCACCTTCAGCGAGCAAGTCGGCGGGGTGGCTGGCTCTGCAACGTCGTCGGGACGCAGCAAAGTACTACTGGTAGTCGATGAGCCAGGGACGGACTGGTAAGGTCCTGAGAAGGGGACAAGGGCATCCATCCCATGCTTAGCCTTCCTTCCTTCCTTCCTTCCTTCCTTCCTTCCTTCCTTCCTTCCTTGTCATTTTTCCCATTCAGATTCAAATGAACTGTGAGTTATAGATGGGGGAAGGGGCAAATTGGGATTTCCAAATTACTTCATATTGAACTTCTTCGCATAAAGAAAGGTAGGGGTAGTGTAAGAGTGGGGGAAAGAAATGGGGAAATAGCCTCCTTTGTTTCACCCCTGATCCAGTTATAGGGTCTACTTAGGCTCTTTTTGACGAGGGCCTGTTTCCTCACTACTTACTTATATTTGCTTCTAGGATCACCCAGCGATGTTGAAGCAATATGCAACATATCCCCATTACTATTGTCTCAGCAAAATAATGGCTCAGTGGTGCTGGAAGAAGCAGTTAGTGAGAAAGGCTGTAAGTGGATGAGATGATGTAGTCTTATATCCTAGCTCACAATCCCTGGATATCCTTTAGTAGGGTATCATCCATTGACATTCTTGCCTCCTTTTTCACTTTATCTTTCTGGACTTTCTCTCAGTTCTTTATTTGCTCCTTAATTTTTGTAGCCACCTGTAATTTCCTCCATAAGGGTATTCTTCTGCTGAAGCTATATATTGGCAGAGCTGGATTTCTGTCTGTTCCATGTCTGAGCAAAGATTAAGTATCTGTAATCTTTTGGCATGATGGAGAGAAATACAAAGAACAGGACAAGAGGGTGTTAGGGTGAGATCTATTGGAGATACACTTGGGTGTTGTACTAGAGTCTAGTCCTATTCAAGGGCCACTGCTATTCAGTTAGTCCCAGTAAGGAAATGCACAGTGACAAGAAAGGGAGAGAACACTTCCTGTGAAATTTTTTTGCAATGCAGTATTTACAAGATGTGAAAAAGGAAGTGCTGTTTCCAAGGGTGTGAAATAGCAGTTTGGGAATTCAGAGGGTTTCCAAAAATACCAACTTTTGTATCATAGATCTACGCAGTTTGGGGCTGGGTTGTGAAAACATCAACTACCAGTTTGGTAGTTCTCCTCCTACCCTGCACATTGAATTGTCTGTCCTTCTTTCCTTTCAGTTCAGCTTTAAGAGTTAGGGTGGCTTTAATAATTAATTAGAAGATTCGGGGATTTGATCTGGGCAATCTCCTCACCACCACTTCATGAAAGATTAAGGAACATCATCTGACATTTTTCTGCAGCTTATTGGTGGAGCCACTTGACTAGCTTCTTTTCAAAGATGTTTAAGGAGGATGGCGATTTGCTTAGCCTGTGATCAGAATTATTCAAACAATTACACAGTGTGGTCTAATTTTAACTCAAACATATTCAGAGACTCTCAGATCTCCTAATAACAAGCACATTGATCCCTGTCTGATATCTATCTAACAGTCATTCTAGTCTCTTTCTCTTATCCTATCATGCCTTAAATTGGGTTTCCATCATCGGGTTTCAGATCTCCTGGTAATTCTTCCGGAGCCCACATTTTTTCTTTCTTTCCTTCCTTTTTTTCAGCTTTCAAAGTTATTTAGTTGTGGACCCTTTCTGGCTTGAACATTCACTAGTTCATAGATCTTCACATCCCAAAAATCAACACAGAGAATTTACATGTATTTGTGGCCTGTTAACAGTAGAATTATGGTCTATTAATGAGGAAATGCAGGCCTTGAGGTATCGGTCTGTTTACTGTATATGATTCAAGATCTTTCACAAAGTGTAAATCCAGTCTGGATATAAATTTAGAATGGATGTGATCTATGACATGTAGTTTGATCAACTAAATGGATTAAATCTCTCCTTAGTGAGTCATCCTATGGAATTCTTCTTGAGTTTTCTATTCTGCTTCCTTGGTTTCTGGTATTTGGTGCAGTCTCTTTAGTACAGGAAATGAAGGAGCATGACTTCTCCAAAAGGGATATCAATATAAGAATGGATTCTTAATTAAGTACAACAAAGGGTTTTGTGGCATCTTAAAGAGTCAAATATATACAGTAAAAGCCAAAATCAAGGGTTAATATAACATGATAATACTAATTTGTATAATCCTATGGTCTTTTTTCATGTACTGAGAATCAACATGAATAGATTGAATGATAAATGATAAACTCAGTCCCTATCAGACAGTTCCCAAGATCCAGCAGGGAGACTGAAATCTCATGGCTTCCTGATGATGTATGGAGGCCAGTTTATGTGACTGAAATATGGATTGTGGGTTTGAGAACAGCATTGAGAAGAAATGGGTCAATACCCTTTTTCATCATTGCTGAATGACAGATTTCTATAGGCTGGGAAGGCCAGGCATCCACCGAGGAAGAGTTTTGGGTTTGGTTTTGTTTTTTTTTAAAAACCTCTTACACTTTTTGAGAAATTTGTGATACTGACCACTGCCAGCAAGCAGATAGACAATTCTATCTACTATTTACTTGGGGAACATGGATACAGCATTCATGATCCAAATTGGAAGACCAACCAATATTTCCTTTAATGCCTTTGGATGACTTGATACCTGAACAAGGAGAATTTATGGAGGAAAAACACCTTTCCTGAACCTGAAGGGTTCACTATGGCCTGCCCTGTACCTTCTAGATTGCCCAGCCTTCCATTCTCATGGTAACCTCGAATGGCAGCATGTGCTCTGTTGCTATTGGCGGACATGTTGCCTGTTCATTATGTTTATGAATTGTACATCTTTCAAGGGCTCTGAAGTAAGTAATATGTTATGGATGGAGTTGGTCCATATTTCATATGCGCAGAAGCTGACTAGGTTGCCAAACAAACATCAGCAGTCCTTCACTTTCAAGGTCTTCAAGAAAAAGAGGAACATTGCCCAAAACAAGAAAATGCAGAATCAGTTATGCTCTTGAATGAAATGTTAAAAAGGAGAGGCCGCTTGGTAGGAATATTATGGGCAAATCTCAAAGTAAAACTGCTGTGAAGTATATTAAGAGGCAGGATTAAACGTTGGTCATTAGGAATCCATAATTTCTCTCTCTAACTAGAAGACTTAGTTTAAATAGTGTTTAGCAAGATTGAGAAAAAGAATCATGGACTGGATTTCATATATTTATAAGAACTGGGTTATCAAGGATGGAGAGGAATTTGAGGCCAAAACAATGGTGCTCTTGCTTACTTGTGCTTTTCCAAATGGGAAACAACCTTGAATTTAAGATGATCTTTTCAACAGAAGCATATATTGGAAAAATCTGTTGGCCTCTATTTTTATATTCTTAACAAACCTAAGTGGATCATTGTATTTTAAAGGTAAAATATGTGTCCCTCTGTTCTAAAAGATAAATTATTTGAGGAGTTCAGAATTGAGATATCCTTTCAGATGAATTTAGTACTTGCATATCTACTTTATAGGGAAATGCAAGGCTAAACATGAGGACAATATGGTAGTCAAGGCAATATTTGTCCAATGTCTTTAACCTGGACAAATGGCTACCATAAATCTAAAAGCTGTTTGGATGGTGTTGATGGGGAGCAATCATTAGCCTCCAAATAGCACCAGCTGCCTGCAATTACTGCAAGTTCAAATCTCACCAGGCTCAAGATTGACTCAGCCTTTCATCCTTTCGAGGTAGGTAAAATGAGGACCCAGATTGTGGGGGCAATAAGCTGACTTTGTATAAAAAAGAACACCGCTTTGGGGGGTGGGGGCAAAGCCCTACTAAGCAGGTATATACAAAAGTATGAAGGCTATTGCTTAACACATTGTAAACCGCCCTGAGTCTCCGGAGAAAGGGCAGCATATAAATCAAACTAATAAATAAATAATAAATAATAAATAAATACAGTCATAGGGATTGCAAGGGATGAACTATCTTCCAGATTTGGTGAACTTTCAGGCTTGCAAAGCCCCTCAACTTTCAAGAAGAATTTCAGCCAGCTCCTTGACATAGAAATGCTCTCATATGGGAGGAAGGATCATCTGCTGAAATCCTGACATGAAAGCTTCCAGCTTGGTGCTGGAACCAGCTTGTTTTTCAGATGGGTTTTTGCATAGTCATTGCTGGAGCCTGGTCTCCTAATAGCAAGAGGGCACTACTCTCTTGGAAAAATAAAAAAAGAAGACCAACAGTCTGTTGGCCAATCACACTGCTGGCTATTCCCATTATTATTATTATTTTATCTAATGGGATTTGCAATAAAAAGTTACAGTCTGTATTTTCCATCCCATCTGGAATGCTCCCATCTAGCTGCCGTGCCACCAGCATCAGTTTTCACCATCTTACTATGTTTCACCAAAGGAAGTGAAAAATCTTGTGCCCCCCCCAATTAAAGAGTAATAGATATACTCCAGGAGGCAGGGGAGATCTATAAGCCCCCAAATGTTGCTAATTTCTATTATAGCATTGATTTTCGGAGATTTAAACCAGCTATTGGGATATTGGACAGCAATTTATCTTCATTCTCTAGACTATTAGCTCTGGAATGTCACTAAGCGTGCTCAGTCCTCTTAAGGCTGTTTGAGGGATTGTCTTCTTTTTATTTGTTAAATTCTTTTACTTACTATATTTTCCTTTATCCAAGGGACATAGTACAACATTTTATCCTCCTGAACATCCTGCTTGATCAGCCACTGAGCTTCATGGCCGAGGGCTGATTGGAACCCTAGTCTCTAGGATTGTGGTTCCATTGGATGCAATATGGCTGCAATGCATCCACAGTAATGCTGGTTTCCATAGAAAAGGCATAGAAAGAACACTACCAAGGCATCCTCCATCTATGTATAGATGAACTCCAGAGAAATAAGAGCCTTCTTAGGAAACTGGAAACCCTGGAAGAAGTGATGTGACCATGACTGCATCATATTTTTTTCCCAGTTCATACTTTTGTAGGACAGTGTATTCATTTATTTCGGTGTATCCTCTGTGGAACTCAAGCTTCTTCTTTTCTTTGATCCTCACAACAACCTTGTGACGTAAATTAGCCCGAGAGAATGACTGGTCACCAACTGGACGTCATTGCTTAATGGGAA